CAGTCATCTTTCTAGAGCACGACTCCCTTTCCCCTCCTTTCCCTCCAGGCCTTAGAGTAGACTTCAGTTCTTACATATGCTCACCCCTACGCGTGCGCACGCGCGCGTGAGCAGACACACACACACACACACACACACACACACACTCACACTCACACACACACTCACACAGGGTATGTTGTTGCTGCTGTTTGCTCCTCAGCATACTCTTTTTTTTTTTTTTTTTTTCCTCAGCATACTCTTAACAGGTTGATAGTATCTGAGATGAAGTGTGATTGGCTGGTGACTTGAGTCTTTCAGCTGTCTGGAATCTCCTTGTGGGTATATATTCTGCAGAGTTGACACATAGTAGTACCTGATGCATACTGGGTGGTCAGTAAATAGTTGTAAATAATTTCTGTACTGTTTAGAACATGAGCTTTGGGGCTCAGACTGCTTGAGTATAAATCTTTTTTTTTTATCGGTACCAGGGATCGAACTCACAACTGCCTGCTTGCAAGGCAGGCGCTTATGCCGCTGAGCTAAATCCCCAGCCTCTTGAGTATAAATCTTGTCTCACCAAGTATTAGCTGGGGATTTAGCTCAGCGGCATAAGCACCTGGCTGGCAAGTGTGAGGTCGTGAGCTCAATCCCCAGTACCAAAAAAAGTATTAGTTGCTTCTCTAAGTCTCAGTTTCTTCATCTGTAAAATGGGAATAGTAAGAATCCCTACCTCGTAGGATTGTTATAAAGATTGCATTACAACATGAATAGAACCTAGAACTGCCTGGTACATAGTCACTGTCCAATACATATTAGCTGCTGCCATTGTTACCATCATCCATGCATTCTTGTCATCTTAAAATTCAACTCACCTGCCTCAGCGGAACTTATCTGTTCCTCAGAGGAACACATTCTGGCCCGATGACCTTAGGTGAGTTGTTTAATCTCTGGATCTCAGGCTAACTGGCAGTCATCTGCAGAATGGTGACAAAAATCAGTATGTACTTGTTAGTGTGTTTAAAGTGTTTACCAAGCAGGACGAGGCAAGTGGAAGGAAACTACCGTGTCTACCACAGTGCCTTAAACCTACTGGGTGACAGTGACCTGCAGGCCTTTTGTTTTGGCGTTGCCTCCCTGCTAGAGTGTTAACCTCCTAGCTGACTTTTTGTTTGTTTTCTGTGTGCACTTGCTCCATTGGACTTAGTCTTTGAAATAAAAATGGAGTGGAGTCTTCAGGATTTGTTTTTCATTCCTCTGCAACTTGAGCTCTCAAGGAGCCCTTGAGTTCTCCAGGGCAGTGTCTCAGCTAAATGGGAAGCTTCTGTTTCAAAAGAAGATAGAACTAAAGTAACTTCTTAGATTTAATTGGCTTGATAACCAGAAGAGATTGTAATCCTCTGCCCTGGCTTCAAATCACTTTTCAGATAAACCTAAAAGATTTGGTGTCAGGCTTCTTGGGAAGGAAGTTTAGAACACATGCTTTGGGTTAGCAAGAAACAGTGGTCATAGTGCTTTACATATAAGGATAGTGGCTTACTGGTGGTGAAGGGTTTCCAAATTCATGTTCTCTTTTTAGCCCAACTGCTGTGTGAAGCCATTCTAATAAATGGAGACATAAGGCCCAGCAAAGTTGATGGCCTAAAGCCAAGTTGGAGGGTTCAACTTTCTGTCCATATTTTGGAGCCTCAAACTTAGAGCTTTCCCCATTACATGATAGCTGTCCTCCTGTTGTCCAGATGTAATTTAAAACCTGGCCAAAGAGAAATAGAGACCAAGCACCAACTTCTGTCCCAGTGAGTGTGTATCATTTTGGATAGACTTTCACCTGAACAGTGATTCTTGCTTCTGCTGTAGGATCACCTGAAAAAGAAGTTCTTAACCTTTAACTTGGGCAGCTTTCTGAAAATGTAAGTTCACTAGTTCCAGGGCAGGGTCTAAGGTTCTCTATTTCTAAGAGACCTCCAAAAAATGGTGATTGCCACTCCACAGATCTCACTTTGAGTAATGAAGACCTAGAGATCCTTTAAAAATATTGAATCCAGGGCCCTCTGTCTCAGAGATTCTGACTTTTAATTGATCCGGATGACAAATAATACAGCAAGTTCTTGCCATTGGTAGTTTTTAAAGCTCCCCAGGTTACTTTGAAGGCATCAGTGCAGAGATAGAACCTAGAGATAGGTTCTCCTAGAGATAGAACCACAGTGTAGGACTGTATTCTCAGGGATTCTCAACTCAGATCCTTTGACAAATGAAAAAGTAGAAGGTGTCGAGAATTCCTTCATTGTGAGAATTTTTAAAATATCAAATTCTCAAAGGAATTTAGGAAAGATTAAGCGCTATAGTGTTAAATTTGTATGTGAATGGATGATTTCATCTCTTTTTTTTAGATCAGAGATTGGTTGGTGCTTATTTTAGTGAGTATATTGAGAGCCCCTATCAACAAGCTAGACAAGCAATCTATGCAGGTAGAGATAGCCAATAATTTAAATGGCTGTAACAATGTGAAAAGTACTACAGTGAGGACTTGAATCTTTCTCAGTCTTTGAATATTGACAGGTATGAATACATTTGGCTCTAAGGTAATATTTCCATTTTCTTATTGCTAGTATCATAGAAGTATTTACCTAGTACCCTGAAAAGGAAAGAAAGAAGAGAATAACTCACCATTTGGGAATCTGAGGGTTTCTTAAGGGAAAAACATTTCACTTGTGCATCCATGCTTGGGTAGGGCTTGAATCAGGCAAGATGGAGGGACGAGAACTGAATGCCAAGAACAGAAACAACTTCTGGGTTCTCTTGAAGGCTTTGAAAGAAGAGGTGAGAGGTGCTGTGGGCAGGTAATCTTAGGCCAGCAAACGAACATTGCCCCGTACGTACCAAACAAACCCAGGTGGACAGAGCAGTGTTTTGTTTCTGATTATTTTTCTTAAGTGGTATAAATTCTGTGTAATTCTAGAAAGGGAAAAGTATAGATACTGTACACAAAATAGGAAATCCCATTATTCAGTCCATTTAAATATTACTCTGGTGAACACCCCTCTATGTACATTCTGGCATACTTCCTGTATCTTTTTTGTGTGTGTGTGGTACTGGGAATTGAACTCATGACCGTGTGCTTGCAAGGCAAGTGCTTACACCGCTGAGCTAAATCCCCAGCCCCCTGAGTGTTGACTTAGTGGCAGTCCTCCTGCTTCAGCCTCCCACTGTGTTTAAGCTTTTTAGCTACACATGTAATCCCAACTACTCTGGAGACTGAGGGAGGGGGGTTGCAAATTTGAGCCCAACCTGGGTAATTTAAAGAAATTGTGTTTCAGAATTAAGACTAGGTATGTGTTCAGTGGTAGTGTGCACAAGGTCCTGAAGTCAGTCCCTAGCACCCATTCATCTCCAGCACACCCTTTTTTATAGCCTCCCCTTTTTTTTCAATTTGTAGTCCAGGTACAGATGCAAGTGAGTGTGCATTTTCGGCAGGCCCCTTCAGTGACTGACTGCCTGTAAAACTGTCTCAGAACCATCTGGATATGTGTTTGGGGTGCGGGGTTACCTTGAGGGATGGAGGAAATAAGCATCTGAAATAAGGCAGCAGAAGAGGCCAGACACAGGAGGTAGATGCAAAAACATGGTGTGTTGACGATTCAGGACACAATTTCCTTCTGCAGACCAGGCAGAGGGAAGACAGTCCGGCAACTCTTCTAGTCCCTACATGAGTGAAGTGCCATTATTGGTGGGCAGAGTTCTCCAGGTCATACGTTGGTCTTGCTTTCCTTGTGTTTCCAAGTGCCTCTCCAGTACACAGCTACTGAGAGTGCTTGTGGGCTAGGGGTTGTCACGGCTCTAGAGACACAGTCCCTGCCCTCTAAAGGATTACATTCAAAGGGAGAGGATGTGTAATGCACACTGAGACATCTATTCACATCATACGTGTCAAGCAGATAAGACTACAAATGTAAAGTGTAGAGTCTGGGATTGGGGAAGGTAAATGGGACCTCTGAGGATGCTGTTTGAGATGGGATGGCCAATGAAGGCTTCTCTGAGGAGGTGACATGGGAAAGAGACCTGGGTAAAGTAGGGCGTAAGCCATACGGACATGTGTGAATCCCACAGAGGTAACAGTGAAGATGAAGGCCCTGAGGGTACAGAAGGGCTTGCTGTCAAGCCCCCTGTTGCTGGAACTGAGTGAGGAGGACAGAAGGAGGTAAAGAGGCCAGTGATTTTTTGACAAGACCCATGGAAAAACGTGTTGGTGACACTGGAGTTTCCTGACAAAGTGAGCCTTTTACTGTGAAGAGGATGGGATGAGTGGAATACTGCACAGTTTGCTCCTATGAATTGCAGTGGAGAATGATGTACTGTGAGCCTGGCTGAAAGACAGTGACCCAGTGCTCACCTGTAATCCCAGCACTCGGCGGGCTGAGGCAGGAGGATCACTGTGAGTTCAAGACCAGCCTGGGCTACAAAGTGAACTCAAGGCCAGCCTGAATTGCATAGTGAGGCCCTGTCTCAAAAAGACAAAAAACAACAACAACAAAAAAACCCCCGAGTGATCTAGATGTCAGAATGTGTGGCTCCCATGTGAAAGTCTTCCATTTTATGCAGATATTAATTGACCCATTGTGTGATTATTTCTGCAAATACAGTCATTGCATTGCAGTGTTTTGGGGACAGGAATCTGTTTTCCTTGAAATGATTGCTTGCCATCAGATATCCAAGTCTGAAGTTTCTCAGGTTTTCTGTTTACTTTTAAGGTCTCCCTATATTGCCCAGGTGCCTCAAAGTCCCAGACTCAAAGCAATCCTCCTACCTCAGCTTCCCAAGGTGCTGGGACTCATGCATATGCCAACATATCTGGCTGTTCGGAACATTTGGGGAGCCACATTTATAAGGGCCTCAGGTTCCCGGAATGGGAGGTGATACTGGGTCAGGAGAAGCACATGTGAGGGCAGTATGATTTAATCAGCTCTGAGGAGAAGTTCATTTCTTTCCTCCATGCTAACTGTGACCTCTCTTCTTCCAAGCAGATTTGCCTGCCATGGTCTGTGCTACTACTTTCTCTCACATGTCAAACAAGCGCCTTTTATGTCCCGGGTGTTGCGCCAATCAACTTCCACCAAAACGACCCTGTAGAAATCAAGGTAAGTCTGGTCCTGGATCACTGGGGTCTCCGGGCTGAGCTATTCACGTCTGTCCTGTGGTTGCGGAGGACACAGACCAATTCCAGTTACCCTTGGAACAGGAGGACTCACTGCATGCTTCATGGCTAAGAGTGTCTTCAGAAGTCTGCAGTCCAGGAACTCTGCTTACCTCTTCATTTCTGTTGCTGTGCCACGGGTACCTGCTGCATCTGTGTGTCTCTCTGTCTCTTTCTGTCTCTCAGGTGAATGTCCTACCCTTATCTCTTCCTACAATTACGTCTCACTCAGCTTGCCTCTGTGGTTTGTTTGTTGCTGTTGTTTGGGTTTTTTTTTTAATTTTGTGCCTCCTTCTTCATTTATTCCTTCCTCCTATTACCAGCTTTCTCTGTATAATGCAGAACATGTTCATATGGTTCATATATTGTAAGCATCTCTCTTCCTTGGCAGTCAGGCTTATAACTTGCAGGAATGTTAATTAAAGGAACGTTTACTAAGGGTTGTTTACATGCCAAGCATTAGGCCTGATGTAACCCCACAAGAATCCTCTGAGGCAAACTATATTCTACAGATATTTGTACATTTTACAGATACAGGAACAGAGACCCAGGAAAGTGAACCAACTTGCCCAAGGTCACATGCTGAGGAAGACACCGTGGGTTTAAACCTTGTTTTTTATTTTTATTTTTTAAACCTCTTTTTTAATGGCTATACAATATTTAATTGAATACATTATTCAGTATTGATCAAGCTTTTATTGGTTTTTGTTTTTCCACTCTTCTCATATACTTAATGAGAACCTATACTGTATCATGCTAAGGCACAGAGAGTATACACGGTGACCCTTACCCTTATGAAGCTTAAAGTTTAGCTTCTAGTGGGAAGAGATACTTGTAGGGTTGTTTGTTTGTTTGCTACTGGGGATTGAACGCAGGGCCTCACACATGCTAGGCAAGTGCAGTGCCACTGAGCTGCATCTCCAGCCCATTTTTATTTTGAGACAAAGTCCCTTTAATTTTCCCAGGCTGACAAATTTGCAATCCTCCTGCTTCGGCTTTCCAAAGAGGTGGGTTTTTAAAGGTGTGCCACCATGCCTTTCTTTGTTGTAATTTTGTTTGTTGTTTGGTTTGGTTTGAAACAAGATCTTGCTATGCAGTTCAGGCTGGCCTTGAACTCACCATGTAGCCCAGGGTCAACTCAAACTCACAGTGACCCTCCCACCTCAGCCTCCTGAGTGCTGAGATTATAAGCATGTGCCACCATGCCCAGTACTTGGCTGAAATTTTAAACTAAATCTTTAATGCAGTATAACATTAATAAAAAGTAAAAGAATCCAGAATTTTGGAAAGTACATGGTATGCTATAGTCATGTCTGCTACAATTACATTGGATAATGTTACCAGTTGTTCTACAGATACTTGGGCACCTGGGAGTATTCTTGGAACAACGGTATTGGTTTCTGTTCAATTGAGGAATAACAGCCTCTCCTTCCACCAGGCTGTGAAGCTCACCAGCTCCCGAACTCAGTTACCTTATGAATACTACTCATTGCCCTTCTGCCAGCCCAGAAAAATAACCTACAAGGCAGAAAATCTGGGTAAGTTCTTGTCTCACATTACTTCAGCTTGTACCATAGGGGAATCCAGTGTGATTTTCCTAATGTTGATACCCTTGTCCAGCCTTTGCTATTATACTAGACACTTGTGTATAACTTATGTGCCTGTTAACTTATTTCATCCTTACAGTGGCCATGGTAGAGTGGTTGCTGTTTATTTTTCCATTTTGCAAATCAAATGTTTTGCCTTTGGTTGTGTTATTAGCTAATGGCTAAACTGGGCTCTGAAACTATGTGATCATTCTTCAGAGTTAGAGCCCTTGGCTTCTGTTCAGACTGGCTCTCTCCTGATTTCTTGATATCCCCTTTTCTCTGATAGCTTCTGCCACTTTCTATGCCTTTAATTGAAAGTGCTAGTGACTATCTGTACCGTAAAGAAATGTCACCATACTTGCTACGCTGCATAAGACCTGCCTCAAGTCACATGTGAAACACCCATGTGTTGTCTGGCACAGCAGAGCCATAAACAGTGGCCATTTTATTCTAGTTTAAATAATTTTCCATATGGCAAAATTTCAAGCTGAAAGGAAGAGAGGCATCCAGTCAGACAAGTGTTACTGCTTCTTCCCTTCTGGCTTACGTTAAGTCCTACATAAAAGAGTGTGGACAGATGGAAAGATGGTCTCCCTGACCTCATGGACCTCATAAGACTTTACTCCTCTTTTATGCTAAGAAAGAAGAGAACTGATTCTTGATCAGGCCACTGAAATGGCTACTTTCTCTGCTCAGAGGTCCCATGGCTCAAATGTTTCTACAACCCCTACCTGACAAGTATCCCTACTGCCAGCTACTGGGGATCTCCCATACCAACTAGGGCAGGCCTTGGAACCAGTTTAAATGAGAACAGGCATCACTGCCTTTCCTTGATAGCCCCTGTGCATGAGCCAAGCCCTATTGTGGGCATTAGTGTGATTTACCTTATTTAATTCTCACAACACCTGGGAAGTAGATTCTTTTGCTGTCTCATTACTGTAGAGAAGGGAAGTGTGGCACAAGGCAGTGATGTTACTTGCCCCAAGTCACTCACCTAGAAAGTGGCAGGACCCTGGGAACTCTGGCTCTGGGTCCATGCCATGGGCACCACACTCCATACGCTGTCCTCCTTTCTCTTTTGGTAGCTCTGCAGGCTAAGCACCGTGGCCCTCATTTCATAGTTGGAGGAATTAGTGAGTAACTAATAGGAGGAGAAGTAGAGATTTTTAACTCAAGTTGTTTAAGGTAAGGCAGATTTTTTACTGAAGCCTTTTTGATGTCCTGGCAGCCTTCTCCAGAAGAGTTAGTCCTGCCTGTTGGCTCCAGTCAGTCTCCTTCAGCTTGTCCCAGTTTCACATCTTCACAACACAGTGAAAGCGTATTTGGGCTTAGTTGACATTCCTTAGCTGCTCAGTGTCTGTTAGCATGACATCTGTAACTGGGTGTTTTTTTTTTTGGTTTTTTTTTTTGTCTTTTTCTTTTTTATTGGTACATGGGATTGAACTCACGACCACACATTTGCAAAGCAGGCGCTTGTGTCACTGAGCTAAATCCCCAGCCCCTAGCATGACATCTGGCAGCAGTTACTCTGAGGCCCAGAAGGGGTATGCCACTTTGTCATGTAAAAAGATATTTTGGCTAAAAACCTCAAGTGCTGCATTTTGCCTCACTTCCTCCCTGCCTGAATTACAATTTGAAAACACAAAGATAAATAAGGAACAGTGTCTATCCTCAGAGAGCTCATGGTCAGCCAGGGATGATGGTACATGCCTGTCTGTAATCCCAGCACTCTGGGAGGCTGAGACAGGAGGATTGCAAATTGGAGCCCAAACTGGACTACGTAGTGACTTAGCAAGACCCTATCTCAAAAACTAAAAAAAGAGCTGGAGCAGTAGCTTAGTGCAAGGGCCCTGGGTTCAATCCACAGTAGCACCAAAAAATGCGCTCATAGATGGAAGAGACAAATGCATAAATATTTCAGTGCATACTACAAAGTTATGTCACTCGTGCCAGGAATGGTGGCACATGCCTGTAATCCCAGCACTCAGGAGGCTGAGGCAAGAGGATTGCTGTTTGAGACCAGTCTGGGCTACATAGTAAGTTCAAGACCAACCTGAAATACATAGCAAGACCTTATCTTAAAAAAGCAGGTTATAAGTACCCTATTCACCAGGGAGGAAATTGAGGCTTTGTGGCATGAACTTGCCAAGACTGCTAAGCTAGTAAGTGGCAGAGGCAACTGTAATACCAGGTAGCATGGAGTTCATACCTGTCGCTCTTCATTATTTTAGAAGGAAATCAGGAGGCCAGAAAGGTCTTCCAAGAGAGGATGAGGGGAAGCTGAGCTTGAAGCTAGAAGCACAGGACAGGGAATGACACTCCAGGCAAAGGAAACCATTTCAGGCCCAGAGGTTTGGAAGGATGTAGTTCATTTGAGCTTTAAAGAGCTGGTGGTGCTAGAGCACAAAGGAAGAAGGAAGGGTGACAGGACAGCTGAGCAAGCTGGGCACAAACAGTTGGGACAGAAAATGGACTGCCAGGCTGAGGAACTGCTGAAATCCATGGATGTCTGTTTTGTCCTTTTATCTGATGTCTTGTGACTACTGAGCTCAGCTACCTCAGGGCTGAAGCTCTGAGCTCAATCTGTCTCTCTTACGGCAGGAGAGGTGCTGAGAGGGGACCGGATTGTCAACACCCCTTTCCAGGTTCTCATGAACAGTGAGAAGAAGTGTGAAGTTCTGTGCAGCCAGTCCAGTAAGCCAGTGACCCTGACAGTGGAACAGAGCAAGCTCGTGGTCGAGCGCATCACAGAAGACTACTATGTTCACCTGTAAGTTGTCCACTGCTCCATGCTGGCCTCATGTTCACCTTGGGGAGGATACTGGTGGAAGAGGCTGTTCAGAGGGACTGATCAGGGCCTTGGGTTTCCAGCATTGCTGACAACCTGCCTGTGGCCACCCGCCTGGAGCTGTACTCCAACCGTGACAGTGACGACAAAAAAAAGGAAAAAGATGTGCAGTTTGAACATGGCTACCGGCTTGGCTTCACAGATGTCAACAAGGTGAATTTCTCTAGTGTGCTCAAAGGGCTGGGGAGCTACACATCTCAAGTCCCAAGCACCTAGGACCACAGACAAGGGGGAAAATTAAGCTCTGGACTTGTAACACAGAAAAGATGCAGTTCTGCCAAGGGCGTGGTCCCTCAGGTATGCATACTTTGGGCAGCCTCGAAGATGCTACAAGAAGTTGAAGGCCCAGTTACTAAAATACTAGGTTCCATTTTTATACTATTCAAACAAGGTAAATCTTGAACTTCATCAGCGTGCAGGAAAGAAGACCACATAGTGATGAAGAGCCTGCAGACTCTCTGGTTTGAATGGTGCCCGCTGCACTTACTAGCTGCCTGAGAGGCCTTGAGCCTGTATGTCCATATATGTAATGGATGTGATAATGATGTCTGCTCTCTGGGATGGTTTTGCAGAGTAAATCAGACAAACCTGTGTGAGCATTTCACAGCACAGCCCTAGGAATAAGCTGATATCATGATGATTGTAGCCATGCTCTCTTTCCATATATCATTTTCTAAGCAGAACACATACTACTTAGGGAATGAAGGAGAAAAATCTTTCTTTAATTCACAGTCCCTGTCCTCAATAGGCTTGTGTCCTAAGTGGAGAGAATGAGCAGAGTAAGGCCCTGCTTATGTTTTAAATCTCAGTTGCCCACTCCTAGCTGTCAATGCCAAGGGAGTTCAGAAGGAGCACATTGTGCATTAACGGTGTCATGAAGGACAGCCTTGGAAAGGCTTTAGGCTTGAGCTGAGTGGAAATGGGGTGGCATCCTCTTTGGAGGGCATGCCATGAACAGAGATGCAGGATAAGGACTCTCCATGGGGCAGGAGGAGCTGGGGATAAGGGGACCTAATGTGTTTTAGAAGACAGTAAGGGCCAGCTGTTTTAGAATCGGATGATAGAAGGCTTTAAATGCCAAGCTAAGAAACTTGAACGTGTATCCAGTAAGCCCCAGGCAGCTCTGGAGAGTTATTGAGTGTGGTATGAGACCGATTGTTTTGGGAGGTTGGTACAACCAGTCATGCTGCAAAGGGAAAGGGCCTAATGTCTTGGGTGTTCTCCCTGAATGACTTTGCAGTTGTTTCCTGACTGCTAGCTGTTTTGTCCTTACTGTTGCTTCATTTCAGTTCTACTTGCACAATCACCTCTCATTCATCCTTTACTACCACCGGGAAGATATGGAAGAGGACCAGGAACATACATACCGTGTCGTCCGCTTCGAGGTGATTCCCCAGAGCATCAGGCTGGAGGGTGAGTGGGGAGGTCTGACCAGAGGGGCAGGGCTGGATGGGCCTGGTCTTCCATTCAGGATCTTCTCATACTTCTCCCCAAACTGGCTGATAGGTTCAAGTGTGGCATCTGGGCCCAGCCATAGGGGGATCACTATATTCTCAATAAAGAAATTGGGAAGCAAGAGACACCTGCCATCTCCTGTGTCATGGACTAGGCACTTTACGGATGAGGAGCCAGAAGTTCAGAGAGATTAGTGACTTGGCCAAGACCAAACAGCAAGTTAGGGCTTTATTGAACCTCTTTGTAAAAAGCAGCCAGCTCTCCCTGGGTGGGAAAACAAGGGACACGGGGCAGGCAGACCTCGCGGGCAGCAGGTATCTTCTTCCAGTGCCGATGTGCAAATGGCTGCACAGACGGAACTGCCCAGGGTCAACAGTTGAGTGGGAGTTTGAGAGCCCAGCTAGTGCTCATAGACCTGGCCTGCATCATCTCTCCTCGCTACCCTCACCCGCCACAGGGTGTTCTTCAGTTAAGCCACAGGCCCAGCCTTTGTACACAGTGGTGATTTTGTGGCTTTTTCAGAAATCTGTGGAACATTGCTTTCAAGCAAAATCATACCTTCATAAAACATAGATGTCATATTTAAAAGCACTGCGCTGCCTCTCCTTCTGTGAGTGCTGTGAGCAGCATATGTTTATGTGTGTGACCATTTCTAGATCTCTGCTTTTGTGATGGCTGACAGATTCAAGTCCCTGTCTACTTTTCTCACCATTTAATCTCCAGAACCCAGTGCAGTACCTGCCACATAGTTTGGTGCTTGTTGTATGTTTGCTGGCTGAAGAATGGGCTGGATGGTAGAGGGAACAAATGAGTAAATGGCAAAGCACCTGCATGATTAATTACTAATGTGTTGGAGACCACCTGTGTGAATGAGCAAATACCCAGAATGACCCTGGGTGAATGAGTGAGTTCATGTTAAGGTCGAGCACAGGAGATAGATTGCCATGAAGGAGATCTAAACTCAGATTTTTGTCCCCCCCCTTCTCCACGTGTACACCTGTCTGCAGTCCTGAAGGCTCTTTGGAAGGTCAGGACTCCAGGGAATATAATTTCAAAAACCATTCTTCCCTACTGTGCCCCCGACCTCTACTCAAGAGACCAGGACCCAGCAATAGGCACCCTCAAAGGCACTAACAGAGCAGCCTTGGGTAGTGGCACTGAACACAGGGGGACACACTGAGTCTCTGTTTCTCGCAGACCTCAAAGCAGATGAGAAGAGTTCGTGTACCCTGCCTGAGGGTACCAACTCCTCACCTCAAGAAATTGACCCCACCAAGGAGAATCAGCTATACTTCACCTACTCTGTGCACTGGGAGGTGAGAAGCGGTGTGAGCTGACAGGTGGGCTGGGGGGATCTGATAAGGGCCAGGGTTTGAGAGCAGGAGGCCTGACTCTGAAGAGCTTCCTCCTGTCCCACCAGGAAAGTGACATCAAATGGGCCTCCCGCTGGGACACTTACCTGACCATGAGTGATGTGCAGATCCATTGGTTCTCTATCATTAACTCCGTCGTGGTAGTCTTCTTTCTGTCAGGTAAGAGCTCTGTGGGTTGAAGGGTAGAGAGGCCAGGGATGTGGTGTTGAGGAACTGAGATATCCAATCACCTACAGGGATTTCTAGGGTGTTCTCAGGGCCAGATACCAGAACCCCATTGCAGGCATCAGGTGGCAGACGTGGACAAGATTTGGTGTCTGCCCTGTGAACTTCACTAGAGAAGCATGAATACCACATGTTTGTTGATTCATTCAACACTTCATTATTGCTTTTCTTGGTGGTAGTGGCAGTATTAGGGATAGCTAGGCCAGGGCTCTATCACTAAGCTGCACCCAACCCTGTTGTAGATCATTCTGGGCCAGATGCTAGGGATATGGTACACCAACCCAGTGTTTGACCTCTGCGCCCAGAGTCTGTAAACTAGTGATGAGAGGGAAATGAAATGCAAGTAGTAGCATAGTTCCTGGTGGTGACAAGTTCTGGGAAGCAGATAAATGGAGTGACCAGGTAGAAAGAAAAGATGAAGGACTTTAGGGAAGACCTCCGAATGAGGAGGAAAGACCATCATTGAGAGAGCCAGGGAAGGACTGTTGCAACAAGGGTTTCAGCCCAGCAGTGAGGCAAGCTTGACAGGAAGCTGGATGGCAAGAGGGTGGTAGACAGGTGGAGTGACACTGGTGGTTCCAGTGCCATGACAAGCAAAGATAGTGAGTGGTAGATATTGTTCAGTAAACATTTACCAAGGGCCCAGCTGCTGTCCTAAACACTTCCTGGACGTCTCAGTCCCCTCCAAGAGCTAAGAGCTCTTGGCACATGCTTAGGAGGCAGTCAGGGCAGAGAAAGAAAGTAGTAAAGGTCTGAGGTAAGAGGTGAGGCTGTGAACTTAGAAGTAAATGCAGTAAACCAGCTGGAAGGGCCAAGCTGTGGAGAGCTGGGATGCTTTCCTTTTAACAAAAACCTGTGTTCTGTGACTGTCCCCTTCCACTCCCAGCAGCCTTTCCTTTCTGCACACATCTCCTCAGTTGGCTGCAGTGGGGTTCTGTCCAGGAGAGAAGTTAGATAACTGTATGGCCAGGTCCTACTGGAGAAGGAACAGAACACAGTGGAGTCTTGGCTCACAGCTCTTCCTTTCCACCCTGTGTATTTCAGGCATCCTGAGCATGATTATCATTCGGACCCTCCGGAAGGACATTGCCAACTACAACAAGGAGGATGACATTGTACGAGGTCTTGGCTAGGGCGGGATGGACTGGGAGAGGGAGGTTGTCTAGCAGACCTCTCTGTGTGTGTGTGTGTGTGTGTGTGTGTGTGTGTGTGTGTGTGTGTGTTCATTCCTAACTTCAAAAATACTGAAAAGAAGAAAAACTTTAATCACCCAGAGAGATAAAGGTGGCATTTCTAGTCTCAAGTGCAAATTAATAGAAATTGCAGAAAAAAAACTTAATATGTCAGATGAATGAAACAAAAAAACAAAGTGGAAAAACAATATTTGTAACAAACTTAAAACTAATACAGTTAAAAGAATTTATATAAAATTTCTTTTAAAGAAACAAAAGCCTAAAATTACTAATGTAATGATGAACAGGAAAGAAAAAAAAAATTTTTTTTTTTTACATTTCTTGAGAAAGGGCCTCACTATATAATCCAGGCTAGTCTTGAACTCATTATGTAGCCCAGGCTTACTTCGAACTTGTGGCAATCCCCCTGCTTCAGCCTCTAGAGTGCTGGGATTACAGGCATGCACCACCACACCCAGCGTAAATAGAAAATTTACAATAAGAAACTACATACGACAGTGTGCATCTGAAAAAATATTTTTATCTCAGATTACCTCCTAAAATGCAGTCATTTGAACTATCAAATATACTTTTTTTTAAATAGTACTAACTGTTGGCAAAGTTAACATGAAATAAACACTTTCCTAAATCCCCCCCTGGAAGGTTAAATTGGCAGTTTTCTGAAAAGCAATTTGGAGTGCATCTCAAGGACTGTAAAGTAGGCAGCTTTCTTTGGCACAGTAATTCTAGGTTTTTCTGAAAGAAAGAATCAGAAATCCAAAAACTGGGTCTTAGATATATTTATCCCAGCTTCAAAGTAAAATTTCAATCCCAGCTTTGAAATAAAATTATTATATCAAAGTATATTTATTGACATTAAGGAAACATTGACAAACATCATCTGAAAACTTCTAAGTACACAATATGATCCACATTTTATTATTTAAAACACATACATAGGCACATAAACATACCTAAAGGACCAGAAAGGAAATAAGATAGTGGTTTCATTATTTTATGTTAATGTATAAAAATTACTTAAGTATAGCTAATTATCTTTTTTCATTTTTATATTTTTAAATTCTTCTACATGAAACATTTATATTTTTATTCATTTAAGCTTCATGACATATACCAAAGTTTTTAAGCTTTTTTATGCAAATAAATACATATTTCTTTAATAATCAGAAAATAAATAGCTTGTCTGTCTCACCTCTCTAGAACTACTAAGTCAGGGCTGGGGATTTAGCTCAGCGGCATCAGTGCCTGCCTTGCAAGTGTGTGGTTGTGAGTTCAATCCCCAGTACTGATTTAAAAAAAAAGAACTACTAAGTCAACATTGATATGTTTACATGAGTTTTCCTCATACTAGGATCGTAGGATTGGGGAGACTCCTTTTGCACAGCTACAAGTGTGTTTGTGGCCTCCAATGTGGCACTCCTATGTCATGCAGAGCTGGGTGATACCTAGGGGAGGCTCAGCCTGGGTCGGATGACCTGTGCCCTTGAGGATAGTCCCTGCAGGAGCTGTCCCCATCCTCACAAATTTTTCTCATTCTCTGGCCCTTTGCTGCAGGAAGACACAATGGAGGAATCTGGGTGGAAGCTGGTACATGGTGACGTCTTCAGGCCGCCCCAGTATCCCATGATCCTCAGTTCCCTGCTGGGCTCAGGCATTCAGCTCTTCTGCATGATCCTCATCGTCATCTGTGAGTGGCCCAATTGGCTGGTGCAGGGGCCTAGAGGAATGTGCCTGTCTGATCATGACACACGGCTAGCTCTCCATGTACTGTGAGAGAAGAGGAAGGGCTTTCCTCTCTGGAGAAGGGCCAAACACTTTCCACCAAGCAGATGTATCAGCTTCTTGGGGCCAAACAGCTGCCTGTCCCAGCAGCAGCCCTAGACCCTGGGAATACTGATCCTCCTTGCAGCTTTTCTGCTCCATTCACAGAGGCCAGCATGTCCCCTGTCCAGAGGCCACACAGCATTGTGAGCTTGGCTGCCTTTTGTAGTCGGGTTAAATGACTGACCCAAAGTCAGTTCCAGGCTTAGTCCTAGACTTGGTCTTTTTTTTTTTTTTTTAACACAAAGTGAAAAACACTAATATATAGTAGTTATGGACAACTCTAGAATCAGTCAGCCTAAACTTGTATTTTAACTTCACGTCTCTAAGCTTTATGACTCTGGGCAAATGACTTAACGTTTCTGAGCCTGTTCCCTTGTCTAAGAAATAGAGAAACCAGTGTCCACTTTGCAGAGTTGAGAAGATAGGTTCAGTGTCTTATGGACTGGAAACTGCAGTTGAGATTCACTTTGTCTAGCCCAGTAGCTGTCAGAACCCTCTGAACTCCACCTAAGACATAGTCTTTCCCTATAAAGGGGAATGGACTATGTTACTGAGAAGGCAGAGGACAAGGGACCCTCTTCTAGCTCCTTCTGCCCAGGGTGCTGCCGGCCTGCTCACGTGGGATCTGGAGCCTGGTGATCACCAGCCTGACTGTCTCCCCTGTCCCCACAGTCGTGGCCATGCTTGGGATGCTGTCGCCCTCCAGCCGGGGAGCTCTGATGACAACAGCCTGTTTTCTCTTCATGTTCATGGGGTAGGTGTGTGAGAGCAGGCTCCCAGGGGCTGTCGTACTACACCTCGTGTCCCACTAACAGGCCCCTGCAGTGTGGACTCCTGCCCTTTCCCACAGGGTGTTTGGTGGATTTTCTGCTGGCCGTCTGTACCGCACTCTAAAAGGCCATCGATGGAAGAAAGGAGCCTTCTGTGTAAGTGTCTTAAACCCCTTCCCAGCATTCAGTGAATCTGAAAAGCTTGCCAGACTTCCCAGAAGAAGTGTAGTCAGTCTCTCTGGAGGGTTTTCAGACTGGAGACTGAGCAGCACTGTGATGGAGCAAAAGGGCTTTGCACCCAGGTGTCGGCAGTTCTGGTCCTTACCCAGAGGTTCACATCAGGACGTCTCCAGGCCTTAGTTGGACCATCTGTAAAATGAGAGGTTTGAATTTGGATGGCTCACGCAAGAGATGGAATAGAGGATTTGCATAGAAGGAATGACAGGATTTTGGTCAACAAGGCAACAGGAGAACCCTTTTTCCCAATAGGCTAGTGAGAATGGCCTGCCAGGGCAGAAGAGGCCAGGCTTAGGTAACAGCCAGCCTGTCTTCTGGACTTGGTGCCTCTGTTGCTCTCCAGTGAGGATGACTTCTACCCTTCCCTCCTACTGGGAATGAGGAAAGATCTTGGCATCAGAAGACCATAGAAATGGAACCTTGGGGTCATCCCACCTCCCAGGGATCCCTGAGCCCCTTCTTGCAAAGTTTTTGTCCTATTCATATTATTGGATCTAACACAGTACATGTACCAGCAAGGCAGGTAAGGAATTCCCTGCTACTCAGCAGAGTGAGAGGACACAAAGGAAAGAAGGAAGTGATGTTTGAGCTGGTTTTTGAAGAAGAAAGTTTAGATGGAAGGAAGGAACTAGCAGAAGAGCCTCAGCTCCTGGTCCTGACAGCTGCCCATGTGCTAGTCCTGGCTCTATTCCTATCTGGTCTGATCATCATGGATAGCCCTCTGAGCCTGTTTTCCTGTCTCTCCAGTGGAGATGGTTGCATCTACCTCCCAGGATTGCATGGGTAGAAAGGGACTGATGTAGGGCCTGGTATTGCATTAGTGTCAGGAAGCTAATACCTGTATAAAAGCCCAGCAACAGGAAAATGCTATAGTACTTAGGTGGGACGGGCAGTGAGACTGAGGTGAACCTGGCAGCAGAGGGTGGGTACCAGGTTACAGAGGGTCCTAGTGATCATGGGCAGTACGTAGAAAGACTCAAGTGTAAATCTGGAGCTGAGGTTTCCTGTGTTTGAATACCAGCCCAGAAGGTTCTAACAAACTAGAATATACCACGGTAGGTCAGGAGTTAGGTTCTCAAGTCAGACTGCCTGGGTTGGTTTTTTTTTTTTTTTTTGTCTTTTTCCTTTTTATCAGTACCAGGGATCGAACTCATGACTGCCTGCTTGCAAGGTAGGCGCTTACGCTGCTGAGCTAAATCCCCAGCCCCTGCCTGGGGTTTTGGGTTTTTTTGGTACCGGGGATCGAACTCACAACCTAGCGCTTAGCAGGCAGGCACTTATGTCACTGAGCTAAATCCATGGCCCAGACTGCCTGGGTTTGAACCACTGCTCCACCCTTGGCAAACTACATGAAGATGTGGGGCAGGAGTGACACTTAATGTCTCTGGGCCTCAGTGTCCTTGTCTTTAAAAGGAATAATGTTAGTGTTTACTCCCTTCCAAACACATAGTGAGGATAAGGTGAGGTAAAGCATGCAGAGTCCAGCATTTGCCATTCCTAAGACTCATTAAAGCTTAGTTGTCATTCCAACTGCTTTGGGATGGGGTCCAGATATAAGGGTTTGTGAAGTTTTGTTATTCATGCATTCAGCAACTTTTTCTAGCAAGTAGTGGCTCCTATGTTTTCTGGTGGGAGTATATCAGAGACTGTGGTGGATGCAATTTTCCCACGGAGCTTAAATCAGTCTACTAGCCATTGATGAGGTAGCAAAATGCATACAGATCCTCCTCAGTTTACAGTGGGATTATATTTCTCAGTGTTCCCATTCTAAGTTGGCAATATCCTGAGTTGAAAATGCATCTAATGTACATAACTTTCCAAATATTGTATAGTTTCTACAGAATTCATATCACTTTCACACCAGAAAGTAAAGAAAATCTTCAGTAGAAGCGTCATGAACTGGGGACAACTAATTACACGCTGGGATGGAAGCAAGGCAGGTGCAGTTTCAGGGATCGGAGAGGAGTAGACCAGAGACCTGCCTAGTTCTGGGCCAGTGGATGTTTGCAGGAAAAATGGTCTTGAGCTGAGTTTGCCTTCCGGACAAGGAAGAGTTCAAGCAGGAACGTCCCTGGATACACCTCCCAACCTGGTCTCTCTTGTTCCCAGACGGCAACGCTATACCCTGGTGTGGTTTTTGGCATCTGCTTCGTACTGAATTGCTTTATCTGGGGAAAACACTCATCAGGAGCGGTAAGTGTCCTCACCCTGTCATTCTTCAGGAAGGGGACTGTCACTGTCCCACTCCCCAGTACCACTTCCCATTGTTTCCTTCCCTTTTCTGAGTCCCCAGAGTTCTGTTCCCAGCCCTGAGGGCGGAGGGCTGATTGGGGTTTCCCCAGCACTGCCCATGATCTGCCCACGTCCTGGCTCTGGCCTCTATGAGCTCTGAGACAGCTGGGCAAAGCTCACTTTTCTAAAGGGAAGTTTCCATAATCCAAAGACCATCTGGGGCGTTCCCCTTTGTCTCAGCCATGGTGTGAATGCGTTAATTGGGTCAGTGTCCCTAAATAAGGCTCTCCTTGAGTCCCACCCCTCAGCACCAGCCCCTGGAGGTAGAGGCAGAGAAGATGGGGAGGGCCAGGTAGTCCGATCCTTGAGTGGGGATCCTACCAGCCTCAGTCCATTATGTTGCTAGCAGCTGTCTAGGATTCACTGATTAGGGTTTTAAACTGGTTTGTAGATGGAGGAATGGAGGCTTTGGTCAGCTAGCAGAGCTGTGGTAGAGGTAGGGCTGTCAGTGGTGCTCCATCTGCGGGTGCCTGTGTGTTCCTGGGTGAGGCTGCGAGTTCTGGCTGCAGAGGAGTAGCCTTGAGGGGCTGTGGAAGCCGCCCTCCAGAAACAAGGTCTGCCTGACCTCTCACTTTCTGGTTTTTTTATACCTGTGTCCCTGCTCTCCAGCATTTTTCTGCAGATTGCCAGCTGTACATTTCAGATACTTACAGAAATTTCGGAAGGTATAGAAAAGTAAAAGAAGTTAAAAATAACTTATAATCCAACCACCTAGAGATATTTTGTTGATTTTTAAGTCTTTCAGTCTTGTTTCCATATAGATTTATTTAAAATAGATTAGTAATTTACTGAAAAACCCAGACATTTGCATGGTACTTTGTAAAAAATAATGCTCTAAACACTTTACAATCTTAACATTTCCTAGGGATTTAGCTCAATGGCTCAGGTGCTTGCCTGATAAGCACAAGGTTGTGAGTTCAATCCCTAGTACCAAAACCAAAGCAAAATAATAATAATAATAATTTTCCTTTTTGTATGGTTTCTTTTGTTTGTGTTGTGTTCTTTTGGTGGAACCAGGGATTGACCATGAGACTTCAGGCTGTCCTCCCCATTTTTTTTTTTTAAACTTTGAGACAAGAGTCTCACCAAGTACCCCTGGCTGGGCTCACAGTTTCTGTCTTTCTTGCAAAGCTTCTCACAGTGCTAGGATTATAGGCCTGCATCACCATATCCATGTCATGTGAGTCTTACAAAAGTCATAACCATACAGAAAATGAAAAATCAGTTCTCTCGCTCATATCCCATCCAAGGAAACAGTGTTAACTTCTTGGTATAGGTCTTTCCTGGTGCTCATATATATAATGTTTTTATTAAAATACAGTTCTTCTGAGCCAGGCATGGTGGCACACACCTATAATGCTCAGCACTTGGGAAACTGAGGCAAGAGGATTGCCATGAGTTCAAGAGCAGTCTTGGCTACCAAGTTCAAGACCAGCCTGAACTACAAAGGGAAACCCTATATTAAAATAAATGAAATAAGCCGGGCATGGTGGCTCATGCCTGTAATCCCAGCACTTGGGAGGCTGAGGCAGGAGGATCGTTGCAAGTTTGAGACCAACCTGGGCTACAAAGTGAGTTCAAGGCCAGCCTGAACTCCACAGAGAGACCCTGACTCAAAAAGATAAAAATAAATAAATAAAATAACAAAAAATAAAATGGAATTCTTTTATATATACAGTGTTAAACCTACTTTTTTGCACTTAGACATACATTGCGGTATTCTGTCAACCAAATTAGGAGCATTTCGTGCACTCTTTTTTCCTTTTTTAATGGTATTTTCTTCTATTCTGGACCCTGTAAGTCCCCTTAGGGTTTCAGACCCTTTTCTCCCTCTTCTCTACTTCCTCCCCGGATGGTGGGATTCTGGCATGCTGAGATTTCTTCTTCCTCAGGAGCCCAATCCTCCTCCCCACTTGCATTCTGCTTTCCTCTGAGGAAATTTTTGGCCCCACGAGATTCTGGCCAGGATCTCAGGGTTGGATAGGCTATGTACAGGACCTTCTTTGCCGCACTTGCATAGAGCCCAAAAGGCCCCTGGCCCTCACGTAGCCCTGTGCTGGGCGTCAGGGCCTGGTGAGGTCCTCACAGCAGTGTGTCTACAGGTACCTTTTCCTACCATGGTTGCTCTGCTCTGCATGTGGTTTGGGATCTCCCTGCCGCTCGTCTACTTGGGCTACTACTTCGGCTTCCGCAAGCAACCATATGACAACCCTGTTCGTACCAACCAGATTCCCCGGCAGATCCCTGAGCAGCGGTGGTACATGAACCGATTTGTGGGGTGAGTCTTCTGGCGCGATCAAGAGCAGAGGGCTTTTGGAGTGTGTGGGGCCAGCATTCCTGGGAGCCACAAATTAGGAGAACACGGAAGAGGGTGTCCTCACAAGGAGCTGCAACCAGTGCAGCAGCCACAGCCACGCTAGTAGACTGGGTGAAAGCTCAGTGTCCCTCCATAACAAAGAGGACAGGGATGCAGCAGGCTTGGTGCCAGCCTGGAAAGCAGGACAGGGGAAGGGAAAGATAGAGGGTATGTGAGACTGTTTAATACAATCACTTGAACTGATTTCCCACCTCCAAACTGTGGAGAATGGTACCCATCCTGCCTACCTCTCAAGATGTTGTAGTTGGGCTGGGGATTTAGCTCAGCGGCATAAGCTCCTGCCTTGCCAGCGTGTGGTCTTGAGTTCAATTCCCGGTACCGATAAAAAAAAAAAAAAAAAGATGTTGTAGTGGCTCAGTAGCAGAGGACTTAGCGCCCGCCCCTCACTCCCACCAGCATAGGCCCTGTCTCTCCATGTCACCTGTGGGAGAGGGGAAGCTTGGGTTTCCAGACCAGCTCTCGGGCAATGTTGACGTTGTACTCTTCCGCAGCATTCTTATGGCTGGGATCCTGCCCTTTGGCGCCATGTTCATCGAGCTGTTCTTCATCTTCAGTGTGAGTACCGCTGCCTGTCCCCACCCCACCATGCATCTGTGCCTGCAGCCTGGTCTCTCCTTCTCACTTAGGTGCACTGCCTCTTACTGCTTGTGAAATTGCAGGCACACTGTTTAACCTCTCATATGCCCATTCTACAGCCTGAAATTGAGTAACAGGTTTGCCTGCCAGGACAACTTTGCAAGGTGAAGGAGACAGGCCATCTATGCAAGGTGTGGTGCCTGGAAAGGGCTCAGAACAAGAAATTTCCTTCACTAATACTACAGATCACTCACTCCCATGTTGAAGATCATTGCTGTATTTTTCTGAGTCCTTTCCCTTTTTTCTTTTTTCTAGTTTTTTTGGAGGGTAGATTTTGACGCAGGTCTAACTGTAGTTTAGTCTGGCTTTGAACTTGCTGTGTAGTTCAAACTGGCCTCAATCTCTTGGTGATTCTCTTGTCTCAGCCTTCCGAGTGTGGGATCACAGGCATGGATCACCACACCCAGATCCCTTCCCATCTACCTATTGACATTACCCAAAACTTAAGGCAAATGGGGCAAATGATCCCCGTTGTCTGGTCTTTGTGGTTTGTAAAGGCCTTGGTATTCAGGAAATGCTGCTGCTGTGAAGTCATTACTCCTACTTGGGAGTGCCAAGATGAGAGTTGGCAGGAGGACTCCTCGGAGCTCTATAAGTGTGGTGACCCAAGCCCCATGTCTAGCACAGATGGTGCCATGCCCCAGTCAGTGCTAGACAGGTATCTGCTTTTCCAGAGGAATGGCCCAGCCCTCCCCTGCTGGGACCCTGGCACACTCAGGCCTGCCTAAATTGGCTGTCCTTTGGCCCCTGTGTATTTCCCAAGGAGACCCCCTCTCTCCAGTCTATGTGCCCGGCCTGTTTTAGCCTTCACCTCCTTAGCTGCACAAGGTCATGTTTGCATAGGCTCCCAGGTAGAGATTAGTGTAACACAGTGCCTGCCATGTGGTAAGCTGCTACTGAGCGGTGGAGGCTGCTTTATATTTTGATTTTTTCCTACATGCTGCCACCTTCAGACTGGGACCCACTCAGAGCGGGGTCAGCCACACCCCAGCCCCTCTCTAAGAACATTGTGGCTCCAGTCAGAGCCATATACCAGGCCCACAGGCCCAGATAGTAGCCTGATGGCTTCTCCATTCGTGCTCTGGTGACAAGATAGTATGTGGGGAAGGCACCACTGAGCAGAGACAGGCCAGCTGAAGATTTGCTCTGGTGTGTCCACAGGCAATCTGGGAGAATCAGTTCTATTACCTATTTGGCTTCCTGTTCCTTGTTTTCATCATCCTGGTGGTATCCTGTTCACAAATCAGCATCGTCATGGTGTACTTCCAGCTGTGTGCAGAGGTAATGGGAATGGACCGGGAACTGAGGAGGGGAAGAGGCAAGGTCTCGGTTTCCAGGTGGTGCCTGACTCAGGCTGAGTCTTGGGCAGTTGAGTTGCTTCCCTCTCCAAACCTCTCATTTCTTAGCTGTGCATTGCAGTTAATGATACCATACCAGCTTCACTACATGGTTGTGTGGGGTAGTCACCACAATTTGATGAAGGACTATAGGCTTATCAGTACCAAGTCCACTCCAGTGTTAGTTTCTCCAGCAGCCTGGTGCAGATTGGTGACCTGCTCTCCTTCTGGGGGCCAGCTCCTCAGAACAGATAGGCCAGCCTGAATCTGGGTCCTCCACTAGTGGCTCTGGATAGTCAGCAAGTTGCTCAGTCTCTACTGCTGTTTAGCATGACAGGGATAGTAACAGACGTAACTTGGAGGCTGCTGACAATGCAAAATGAGCTGACTGAACTGTAGTCCTTAAAATGGTTCCCAGCATATGGGAAGCATTGCTTAATGTATAATTTTCAGGTCTACAGATGTATCTCAGTGGTAGCCCTCAGCATGTGAGATGCTACAGGTTCAATCCTTGGTATCACCAAAAATTTAAAAAGTTCTGTCAGGCATGATTGTACACACTTAGAAGGCTGAGGAGAGAGAACTGCAAGTTCAAGGACAACCCAGGCAACTTAGCAAGCCAGTTATGAATTAAAAAGGGAAGGAATGAAGCTCAGTTCTCCTTGGATCACTACTTTTCATCACTCAGATGTTACTATTCTTAAGCAGAGTCTTGAGTTCCTCAGGCTTCTATAAAATTTGGCTGGGAGAGGGCCAGGAGATGGTGACCTCTCTCTGTTTCCTCCTCAGGATTACCGCTGGTGGTGGAGGAATTTTCTGGTATCCGGGGGATCTGCATTCTACGTCCTGGTCTACGCCATTTTTTATTTTGTTAACAAGGTACCACCCTCCTGAAGGGCCCCTCAGTCTCTCTAGGCAGGAGAGTGGAGAGGAGGATGCTGGAGGGAAACCCCAATGTCAGAATCTTACTTTCCCAAATAGATATGGTAGCACACACCTATAATCCCAGCATTCAAGAGGCTGAGGCAGGAGGATCACCATGAGTTCAGGCTCAGCCTAGGCTACATAGTGAGTTCAAGCCCAGCCTGAACTACATAGCAAGATTCTGTCTTTAAAAAAAAAATGGGCTGAATGCTGCTACAGCACATCCAGTGACAGAAAAGATACTTCTTTCTGACATTCCCTTTCTCCTTCCAGACAGCTCCTGCCGTTACAAACGTCTTCCTTGAGTCACACTGCCATCTGCCCCCATATAAGTTGTATCTTCAGATCTTTAGTCTTACTCCAGAGGTCATCCTGAACAAATCTAATATATCCTTTACATTAGTTAGAATTCTCGTGATTGGCAGGTGACCAGAACCCAGTCCAAAAGAGAACTTTATCGGTTGATATAAATGTTTAAGAAATTGGAGTCCTAGCTTCAGGCATAGTTAGATCCAGGGTCTGAAAAATATCAGAGTTCTGTGTCCACACATTAGCTGTGTGTCCGTAGCAGGATCCTAACACAAAGTAGAAAGGAGGATCTCTTTTTAGCTCCACAGCTTAAGACTAAAAGAATGTCTTTCTTCTGCCATTGTGTGTCAGTCACAGGGAACACGTCATTGCCCTGCTCAGGTTACCTGCCTCTCACTCACTGTTCAGCAGGCCCGAAGCATGGTGCACTCTGATAGGCTAGCTTAGGTTTCATATGAAGAGTAATGCCCCCGATGGAACACAAACCAGTCAGTATGTTCCACAAAACACCTGAGGAGGAAGACAGGAAACAGTGCTGGGCCAGTAAAAATTACGGGTCTTATCAAGGCTCCCATCACACCTTACACTCCAGCTTGCTTTCTCATCTAAAAACCTCTTCCTCCAGCACCAGTGTGAAATGAGACCTTCGGCCAGTTGAGTTCTGAGGCCTCTTCCACTCGTGTTTTTGCTCATCCCTTTCCTGGTTTGACCATTGCCCTGCTCTTTCCTCCCCAACACCTTAACCTCTTAAGCATCCACAAGATGCTTACAGAGGAGGTGAGAGCTTGAGCCTGAAAATAGCACCTTTTCCCCTTAAGCTTAGAAAAGAATCCCAAATCATGACCTAGTGAGACTCTGTCTCAAAGTAAAAAATAAAGCTTGGAATATAGCTTAAGGTCAAGACCCTGGGTTAAATCCCCAATAACACACACAAAACAGGTGGAAATTAGAAGATAATTTTGAATGAATTATAAAGAAAACATATCAGAATTTTGGGGATATTGTTACTGCTTTCTTATGAGCTCCCAGCACTTTTTTTTTTTTTTTTTTTGTCTTTTTCCTTTTTATCGGTACCAGGGATCAAACTCATGACTGCCTGCTTGCCAAGCAGGCACTTATGCCACTGAGCTAAATCCCCAGCCCCAAGCTCCCAGCACTTTTGTGGCCCAGGAAGAGAGAGTCCTCTCAGGCCCTGGTGCCCTAGGAACATCTTGGTAACAAAATCCAGATTAGCTCTATTTGCCCCAGCAAACAGCACAACAATGCAGATAGATCCCTTGCATCACAAAGGAATCCCACTCATGGAGTCTGAAATGCTCCCAAGATAAATGTCACCATGAGATATGTTAACAGAAGTGACAAGTATTCTTGGGAAAGAAATGCAGGCTGATGGCGGCTCTCTGGTCCTTAGGGTTTAGACACCTCTCTCCAGTGTACCTTCTGCTGTCCAAGCATTGTTCAGTGCTAGGGACTGATAATCAGGGAATGGTCCTGCTGTGGTCAGTCATTCCTGCTTACAGCATTCTGGCCGTGGGTCTGACCCCGAGGTCATGAGCGTCCAAGGCAGTACATAGGCCCTAGCACAGATGAAGCCCAGCCGTTGTCTGTGAGCCCCTTTCCCTAGCAGGTGGCAGTTTTGCCACTACCTGAGGGAGGGGGGTTGGGCAGTTTGTCAGGGCCACCTGGTACTAAGCATCTACCCCTCTCTTTTCTCCTTCCTTGTTGCCCCAGCTGGACATCGTCGAGTTCATCCCCTCTCTCCTCTACTTTGGCTACACTGCCCTCATGGTTCTGTCCTTTTGGCTGCTCACGGGCACCATTGGCTTCTATGCAGCCTACATGTTTGTCCGCAAAATCTACGCTGCTGTGAAGATAGACTGACTGGGATGGACCATGGCCAGGCCCACTCCGTCCTTGGACAGGAAGCCACCCTGTGTGGGGAACTGCAGGCACTCAAAATTAAATAACTCCTGCTCATTCGGAATCTAACTCCTGGCACAGTGTTCCTGGATCCCGGGGCCTTGTGGAGGGCGGGAGGGCCTGTAGATAAATCTTGCATTTCTCTTCATCTTATACAGGTTTTGTGGGGGCTGAATTTTTTGTGGGTTTTTTTCTTCAGTGCTCAGAAAGTTCCCTTTAGTAGGAACTCTCTGACCTGTCTGTTCAGGTTTATTTTGGTTTGGGGTTTTTTTCCTTAGTTTTTTTAAACGAATGGATCCAGGATGGATAACTCCACCAAAATACTGGGTTTGGTCACTGTGTCCACCTCAGTTCCTCAGGAACTGTTGGCCACCCCACAGCTAACCAGAAGAGGAGAGGCTTAGGCCCCAGTGACAGTTCTGAGCCTCACCATGGATGCCACGACACTGTTCTATTCCAGCCTGGACAGCCCCCTCAGTGCCAAGCAACCTCTCTCCCCACCTACTTCTCTCTTGCCTAGCTTCCTCCCAGGCCTCCAAGGTAGAGCTTCCAGCCAGCCCTCTGAGCCACCTTTTCACAAGGAGCAAGCCCAAGACTCGGGGGTTACAAGGAAAGGCCCTGGAAGCACTGGGGCGGGCTCCCTAGGGCAGCAGGAACCCCCCATCAGAGCAGCTGGAGTCTGTTAACTAAGGAGGAGGAAGAGGAGAGACTTGCAGTGAACTGTTCTTGTGCCAAGAAACCCTGGATCCGGAGCCATGGATTTGTAGAGCCAAGCATTCACCTGTGACCGGGAAGGGATGGCTAACACCACTAGGGCCCTTGCCCCTCAGGACTGCTCCCAGTTCTTTCTTCAGGGGCTGCCAATCTTTCCAAAGAGCTGGTGGTGAACCTTCTGCTTCACTTCCAGGGGAGAACAAGGAGGCCTAGAGACCTCACATCCCCTCCTCGAGGTGGCTGGCCAGAGCCTTCTCTCCCTAAAGTCCCTTGGCCTCAGTGTTTCTGCTCGTTTCTTTTAGCCAGACTCATGCCCCCACCTCCCACCTGAGTTATATTGGGACACCCAGAAAACTCCTGGGAGAAGGAAGTTTTGTCATTCCTTCCCCATTTCCCAGGAAGAGCAAGAAGTCCAGTGTCCCCAAGCTGAGAGGAGGAGACTCGTGGCTGCCTGACTCTTCTGCAGAGCCCTGCTCTTCCCAGCCACAGGCCACCTGTGCAAGTCACAGACATTGGCTCACAAATTGTAAAACTATGTTCACCCAGGATTAGGGTTTAAATAATAGCCTCTTGTCCTTGCTGCAGCCCACCACGAGACAAATCTCAGGATGTAGGTTAAGCAAGGAACACCCACACACGGCTCCAGTCTCCAGGGCCTCTGCCAGCTCTGTCAGTCAAATTGGTGAGCTTCTGAGTCTTGCCTCCTAGTGATTCTGCAGTACCAAGCAGCATCTATCAGGAATCGGGTTGGAGAAGAAAGAACCCAAGCAGCAGAGAATGATACCGGAGTCTTTTGTTCATTCAAATCTTGGATTTTTCCCTCCATAGGAGATTCTTTTTGGGGGGAGTGAGGAAATGGACTCCACAGAGGGTTCAAACATTGTCAATTTTTCTGACTTTTTAAATCATCGTCATTATTTTTAATTTAAAAAATGCCTGTATGCCTTTTTTGGTCCAATTGTAAATAAAAGTGCCATTGTGCTGGTATGTCTCATATCACATTAAGGGTAATGGGTCTGAGGTCTAATGGCTTCCTCAAGTGGGTTGTGCTGTGCAGTTTCTCTTGATGCTCCTGTCAGGCTTCCTACCTAGGGCTCAGGCCACTGCTCTTCACTGCCTGCTACAAGTCCACAGCCTCTCTTATTTACTCAGCCCCCTATCCACACTGAATTAAAGCATGTGTGACTCTGACCCCACAAGCAGGGAATCGCCATCAGGTGTGGGCTTTGGTATAAGACAGACCTGGTTTTTGATCCTAGCTCCAATGTTGTACAGCCAACTCACTTCACGCTCTTGTATCATGAGTAACTTTCCACTAAAGCAAAAGAAATGTAGGTCAGCATATTCCTGTAGTTCCGGCACTGGTGGGACCCCCTCTTACAAGACAGGGAGAAGGAAAGGGAAGCGACGGGCAGGGACAGGAAAGGGAATGTGGGTTGAGGGGTTGGGCATGTAGCTTAGTGGTAGAGCATGGCTTAGCATACACAAGGCCCTGGGTTCCACATCCAGTACCAAGAAAGAAAGAAGTTGAAGTCAAACTAACCTAAGTCCTAAATGGAACTAATTGGTTCATAGATGCTCAGAGACATTGGGTTTTCTTCAGTTCCGGCTCGGTCCAGGGGCTCAAAGGATGGTCTTGGAGCTCTGCTGCGCTTCTCTGGGAACTCATTCTGTGCATTTTCAACTGTGTTCCCTGTGAGGGAGGCAGAGGGCTGGCATGGTGCCTCACTCTGTAGTTCCCAGTTGGTATGCCAAGGAGAGGAAAAGACGTCTCCTTCTCTACTCCAATACATTCAGTATGTTTGTTCAATGTGGAAATCCCAAGAAAGGTGTCTGACCCAGTTTGCACTGCTGGTTGTATATCTTGTGGCAATCACTATGTCCAGGAGTATGGAGTACATTCCCAAGAGTACTGGATACTGTGAATTTCAGCCCCACTTAAGTTACCCGGAATGGGTGATGAGCAAAGAGTAGTCTCCCTTAAACAGAGCGTCGTGATGCACACCTATGATCCCAGCATGTAGGAGGCCGAGGCAGGACGATCACTGTGAGTTACAGGCCAGGCAGGCTACTTCAAGGCCAGCCTGAACTACATAGAAGACCCTGTCTAAAAAACAGAAACAACCAAAAAAGCAGTCTCCCTTGGAAAGGGTCATATAGCAAAAACAGCAATTTCCTGTAAGACCTCACCTCCTCCTGCTCAGTCTTAGCTTTCTCAACTAGAGTGTTTTCTGTGTCCAGACACTGTTCCACTTGCCATATGTTGGTCCATTTAACAGGTTCACACCTGGGCTGTAATTGCTATCTCTCTCTTCCGGGAAGCTCTCAACCGCAGGTGGTGCCTGTGTCACTGCCCCATCGAGCAGCGTGGTTGGTCCCATTGGATGGTACAAGCCACCCCATGGGTCAGTCACACAGTATCACTGGTGCTCAAACCAGCAGGAACCTGTTAATCTTGGTAAGATCTGAGATAACAAAATGTGCCTCAGAGACAGATTCTTCCTTAGTGCCCTTTGACAGTCGTGACCTGTTGGGTGTCCATGCAGGATGGATCAGCTAATTGGGCCAGCTGCACTGCAGTCTTTCCTTCCAACCACTGTGTATAAAATTATACATTGTTGATGTAAATAACTGCAAAATTTGATAGGTTGACAAGCCCAGGAAGCCATCACCACAGTTAGCATAGAGAAAACAGCAGGTTTCCTCACGCCATCCTAAGGCACCACTCATCAGCTTTCTGTCATTGTAAGTTTGCATTGGTATCTGAGGTTTTCATTCAGTGTATTCTATTCCTTTTGTATCCGATCATGTGGAGTTGGTTTATCCACTCACCCTTTCCTGGACATTTGAGTGGGTTCCCATTTTAGCTATTACAGGTAGAGTTACTACTACCAGCCAGGCGTGGTATCACATGCCTGTAATCCCAGCAACAGGAGGCTGAGACAGGAGGATCACCATGAGTTAGAAACCAGCCTGGGCTGCAAAGTGAGTTCAAAGCCAGCCTGAACTGCATAGGGAGACTTATCTCCATTTAAAAAAAAAAAAAAAAAAGTTGCTACTACCAACAGAGGCAGTGAAGTGGCTGGATCATGAGATAAGTATGTGTTTAACCCAAACAGTGAAGCTCTTCCCTAAGGTGCCTGTATCAAATTCGCTTCCACAGTATGCTACAGTCCCAGTTTCTCTACCCTCTTTTTTTTTTTCTTCCTGAGACAGGATTTCGTTATGTAGTTCAGGCTGACCTTCAATACACTGTATAGCCCAGGCTGGCTGATTAGCTATTTGAATAGGTACATTATGTCTCATGATTTTAATTTACATTTCCCTAGTAATGGGTAATGTTAAGCATCTTTTCATGTGATTGTTTATGTGTAATGTCTTTGGTGAAGTATCTGTTGAAGTCTTTTGTCCACTTTTACTGAATGATTTGAGTTTTTTGTTTGTTTTGGTACCAGGGATCAAACTTATGACCTAGTGCTTGCCAGATAGGCTTTTGTGCTGCTGAGCTAAATCCCCAGCCCCATGATTTGAGTTTTAAATTTTGAGAATTCTTTTTTTTTTTTTTTAATTTTGAGAATTCTTTATATTTTCTGCATACAAGTCATTTATCAAATGCTTTGCAAAGATTTTCTTTCAGTCTATGGCCATGGCCTGTGTTCTTGTTCTTTTTGTTTGTTTGTAGTACTAGGGATCGAACCAAGGCACTCGGCACTGAGCTGCATCCCCAGCCCTTTTGTTATTTGAGACAGGATCTTTCTGAGTTTTCCAGACTGGTTATCCTTTTCCTTTTGCCTTTGTGCCTTTGACAAAAATCAGTTATCCATAGTTGAGTGAATTTATTTCTGGAATTCTGTTCTGTTCCATTGATCTGTTTGTCTGCTTGTATGCTAAAACTTGTTTTTAGTACTACAACTTAATTTCTTAAAATCAATTGCTACTATCCTCTAGTTTTATTTATTTTCAGAGTTGGTTTGGCCATTTCAGGCCTTTTGCATTCCCACGTGAGTCTTTAAATTATCTTGTTGATTTCTACAAAAAGCTTGCTGGAGTTTCAGTTGGAATTGTGTCAGATCTATAGGTAATTTTGGAAAGAACTGATAACAGTGTCAGGTCTCCCAACCCATGAGCAAGTTATGCCTATTTATTTAAGTCACATTTACTTTCAGCAATATCTTATGTTGTCGGTACCTACATTTTCACATCTTTTATTTTATCCCTAGTATTGGGCATAGAACCCAGGGGCTTTGCACACAGCCACTTCCCCAGGCCTTGTATTTTGGGATAGAGTCTTGCTAAATTGACCAGGCTGGGGCCTGGGGATTTAGCTCAGCAGCATAAGTGCCTACCTTGCAAGCAGGCAGTTGTGAGTTCGATCCCTAGTACCAATAAAAAGAAAAAGGAAAAAAAAACCACACACACACACATAAATTGATCGGGCTGGGTTCAAATTTGTGATCCTCATGCCTTACCCTCTGATTCCTGGGTTTACAGGCAAGGGCCACCAATTTTTCACATTTTTTTTTGTCAGACTTAATTCCTAAGTATTTCATTATTTTTGTGCTGTTATAAATGGTATGGATTTATTTCTAGTTTTTCATTGCTAGTATATAGAAATACAACCGATTTTCTAACATTGATCTTATAGCCCAACACCTTGCTGAACACACTTTTTAGCTATTTTTTTATTTTTTTTTTTATCAGTACCAGGGATCGAACTCACGACCACACACTTGCAAGGCAGGCACTTATGCCGCTGAGCTAAATCCCCAGCCCCTCACTTTTTAGCTTCTAACAGCTTTTTTTATAGATCCCACATTTTCAAAATAGGGGATTATGTTGAATGGAATGAAGTTTTACTTCCTTTCTAGTCTGGATAACTTCTATTTTTTGCTTAATTACGCTGGTTGCAGCTTTCAGTATAGTGCTAAATGGTGAGCATGGATATTCTTGTCTTTAATTTGTTCTTTTCTAGTAACTTAAGGCAGAAAATTATTGCATGCCTATAATCCTAGCACTCAGGAGGCTGAGGCAAAAGGATTGCTGCGAGTTCAAGGCCAGCCTGGACTACATAGTGAGTTCAAGACCATTCTAAGCTATCTAGCCAAACCTATCTCAAAAAAAAAAAAAAAAAAAAAAAAAAAAGAGGAAATTGAAATGTTTTGTTTTGTTTTGAAGGTAGCATTTCATTATATAGTCCAAATTCAAACTGGCCTCCACCCTGAGGTTGAGATCCTCTTACTAGTTTCCCAACTACTCACATTATACATCCTTGCCAGTGTACCCAGCTCTTGGATTTTTAAGTCTGGTAGCAGTATCCCAAGAATTATGGTGTGTGTGTTTTCATTGTAATTCAGTTCAAAATTACTTTCTAATTTCCATTTGTTTTGTTTTTAGGTGTGTGTGTGTGTGTGTGTGTGTGTGTGTGTGTGTGTGCTGGGGATTTGACCCTTGACCTTGACACTTGGCTCTATTCCCAGCCCTACTGTTTTTTTTAATTTTGAGACAGTCTCACTGAGTCACTGAATTGCCTGGACTGGGATCAAAGTTGCAATCATCCTGCTTCAGGTTCCCATAATGCTGCCATTTTAGGTGTGTACTACCATACCTAGCTTGATTTCTTTTTTGTTTTGGTTTGGGTTCTTTTTTGGTTTTGTTTTATTGAAACAGGGTCTTGCTGTGTAGTTTAAGCTGGTTTTGAACTCACTGTGTAGCCCAGGCTGGCCTTGAACTTGCAGCAATCCTGTCTCAGCCTTCTGAGTGCTGAGATTACACACATGCCCACTGTGCCCGGTTCAAGCATCTTTATGTTACTCATTTCTAATTTAATTCCATTGTCAGAGACTTTGTGTGACTTGAAGTTTTTGACTTTTTTTATGGCCCCAAATATGATCTATCTTGATAAAGTTCATGTTCACCTGGCAAGAATGGGGAATCTAAATTCTTGAGTGATGTGCAAAATAAATCTCAATCAGGTCAAGTTGTCTGAT